CACAAATACAAAAAAACAAATTAAGAAAACAAACATTCAATTAAAAGATGTTAAAATACATATATAAAAATGATTCAGATGTCTCAGTCTGGTAGCAGGTAGCCAAGCATCAGTAGACTTTGGGTGTGAATTAATGTTCCATCCAGCAGACGTGAGGAACCCACAGAATCACTTTGAGCTGAACGTCGCTAAGCCAATCAGGGCAGAATGACGACCAGCAGGAGCCGATGAAGGTGTAACACAGCAACAAGTAAGAAGCCGGCCACAGAACCACACGGCTAGATAGGAAACCGGAAGTGAACACATTGGGCCTCCAGCAGAACACCAGCAAAGGGCAAACAGCAGCGTCACTGAGCCTAAAGTGTAGCTCCTCTAAAGGAGGAGGAATCAGGTAGACTCATTCTGGTAGCCATAAAAAGGATCAAGGGTCGTTAAACGCACCCTTCATGCACCCACTAGCCTGAGGCTAGCGTGCAGCACCCGCAACCATAGTAGTCTGAACCGGGAGGCAACCATGTCACACAGGTAGAGGGAGGGCCCTTTATATACAGGCAGCCAGCGCCACAACCAATTAGATGCAGGCACTTGTGTGGTGCATTCAAAGCCTACAGGGCATACTGCCACATTCATATACAGTATATATCAGATCTGACATTACATTTTAGAGAATTTGTTAGGAGTGACTCAGCTACTACCACACCAAACTATATCTCAATCGCTGTAAAACTGACCGAGTTTTAGCCATTTTTGTGCTGCGTAAACTTCATAAGATGTGGCAGCCGACTTGAATTAAACTAACTCATAAAATTAGTTGCATGGTTAATTTCTGAAAGTTTGAATAAAATCTTTTTATTGTCTGATGAGACAAAAAGGGTTGACTAACAGCTGATGCAAAGATTTTAATCAAAGATCAACTGACTCAGCTTCAACCACACCGACTTTTAACTGACTGGATGTAAAACTGACTGAGTTATAGCCATTTTTTGTTTTYGCTGAGGTCATTCAGCTGTGGAAGTATATTTTGTGGACCTTAAGAGTTAATCAGTTTTTGATGTCCATCTTATGAATACTTTCTGAGAGTTTCAGTGAAACCCATTTAGTGTTGTGAGATATGTTTATAACACTCAAATATACAAAAACATGTCACCGCTCACCTTCAGAGGCAGGCGGTAATAATACTAAAAAATAAAAATAAAAAAAAGCCAAAAAGGTTTTGCAGCAAAAGGCTGAGGAAATTAAACCTTTTTTTTCTGTCATGCAAAGTTTGAGCTTTTCCTTATTTTCTGGCTGAGAGCTGAACACACGAGTCCCGAAAGATTCACTCACATTTCTGAGTGATTAGTGTTGAAGGACTGATGGTCCACCCTGAAGATTTTCTCACCTTACAGGTGGAGCCACACGCCAGGAAAATAATGATTTAAAAGCAGAGTGCATCTAAACCTAATGGGGGGAAAGGTTTTTGGTCTCTTGTTGACTTGTTGCAGGAGTAAAAATAAATAAATAAATAAAAAACAAGCCCTTTGAGTAACTTTCAAATTTACTTTAAGCAGCCTTTTTGGACTTCTGGTTGGTCAGATCATTCATGTGTCCTCTCAAACCTTACCAGAATACAGAAAAATGGTCAGCACACTCTGGGTTGTATCTGCAGTGGGTTGTTACCATGACCTTGTCACGGTCCTTTGTGGGCATTGGTCCTATGTCATGGACATGCTGCCATTATGCTCCAACACACTCCAACCAGAACCCTTCGCTGCCACCATAAGCCACCATCTTGCTATCCATGTCGTGTGTATGCTGCAAACTATCCGAGGTGTTTTTAAAAACCCCTGAAGACCTCAACAATACCCTGCAAAGACCATCTATGTTCCGTCTGATTCTTTCTACACATCCAAATAAATGGACTGTATGTGGCACCTTTCTATCCAACCAAGATACTCAAGTGATTTACAGACCTCATTCCACACAGCACTCTACTCTCTACAAAACTAATCTAGATAAGTCATTCTATAAAGACCAATCAGTGCTTTAAATCACACTCAGACACTGATGGGACACAGGTTCACTGTCTTGCCCATAGAAACTTCAACCTATGACTGAATAGGGGTGGAATCGAATCAACAACTCTCACATTAGAGGATGACACCCACTCATCCGCAGCCGCCCACAAGAATGGCTGCCTCCCTGCATGTAGGTGAGTGYACCTGTATTTTATTATCATTTTAGAACCTTTTCTGGCAAAAACCTATTGTTAGAACCAATAGTCCTTTTGGAAACCAAAGCCTGGTCCTAATATGGTGGAACACYGGATGTTAGGGTTAGCCTACARAAATGACTGGAAATKAATGAAAGTCAACACACTGTCCTAATAACGATATGTGCTTGTATTTGTTAGCTTTTTATGGCTTTTCTGGTATAAACACCTACCTTGTCAGGACCAGTAGATCTTTTGGAGACCAAAGCCCRTCATAATATGGTGAAACACCATTTCTGTGGTCAGAGGTTAGATTTAGGACTAAGGTGTGAACTGAGGGGTGGCTAGGTTTAGGCTACAGAAATGAATGGAAGCCAATTCACGGTCCTCATAAAGATAGAAATAGAAACTTTTKTGTGTGTGTGTGTCCAAGATGTTATACCTCACGCTAAAAGCACAAACCCAATTAATCCAATAGAATTTCTCACAATCAGCTGCTTTAAAGTAGGTGATGGAAATCATACCTCACCTAAATGTGCTGACATAAAAGCCGCAATAGCCCACCATTCAGCGAACAATTGTCTCCTGATTATTCCTTCACTACAAAGAAGGAAGGAGGAGAGCAGAAAAAGTAATGATTTGAAATGCAAAGAGATATTGAAAATATAAAAAAAGAACCCTTGCAACTTTGAAGAAGGCCGTTAATTTCAACATTCTTAATACACGGCTGCAGAGGACGGAGGCATGCTGGTCAGGTGGGTCAGGCCATTATTATGCACAGTTGCACATCTTCATCTTCATAGGAGACTTCAGGAAAGGCAAGTGTGTGTGTGTATGTGGGCATGTTGAAAAGACAGAGTGCAGGCATTTGAAAGTCAAATTGGAGCTTTAAAGCATGCATGGCTGCAGAGGAGTGACACACAAGAGTGTTTCTAGTGGCGTACGCACAACCAGACAGGCAGAATGGTCAACTCTGTAAGTACTCAAACACTTACAGACATAAAAAAATACCATTGCTTCATGCAATGTCTGAACTCATTTTGAGAGGAAGTTTGCAGCATGTAAACAGGAAGCTGGTAGTAGCTGTGGTTAAAAATGTACTGCTTGACTTTGATCCACGCTCTGTTCTCCACGTGAGGAGATTTAATCTTAGAGGGGAAAACAAATGTTTCATTTGAACTTTTCTGTGGCTCACTTTTTAGGTTGGTGCGAGCGGAGGCGAGGTCTGTGCGTCTTCTAGCCCAGAGGGTTCATGCATTATTCACTCGGAGACATTAAAGATGTAGATGTGGTCAGAGACATATGCACAGACACACACACGCACACACACGCAAACAAAGATTTTTATTCTTTGACACAACTGTAAAGATTTTCATTCTTTTTTAAAGCAAATGAATCAAAATTGCACATTACWGCCTCAATGTTTGAACATGCAGAGTCAGGAACGTTAAAAAAAGAACAAAATGGGACAAAAAAAGGAGAGAGAGTGAAGAAGTGTGTGTGTGAGAGAGGCAAGAAACGTGTCTGAAGGAGCAGAGATTTCACAGCTCAGTGCCTCTGTCACAGTGCACCTGCTCCCCAGGATGGAGGGAAGGAGAAAATGAGGTAAAAACGGGTGGTGAGGTGARGAGTTTCCAGGAGAAGGGAATTTAAAATGCATTTAAAAAGTTGCAGCGAGCAGACTAAAGGAACAGATACACACTGTTTGGCACTAAGTTGTAAAATGAACATGTTACACCACACACTAACATGTCCTACTARACCTCAACCAATATTATGGAATGTCCAAACTTGATTTTCCTATGCTACTGATGAAAAGAATGAATAAAATGATCTTCATGTATAATGTGKGTTCACATTTTCTACCAACCTGCAGCTCTGGAGTCAACTAAGAGTCAATATTTGTCTATTAACAAAATATCCAATAAACCATTGGATAGATTTTAGTAAAACTTTCAGGAATTAATCACTGTAAACAATAGATTAACTTTTGGAATCAAATCCAKTCAAGCTACATCCAACTGATATAAAAACACACAGAAAAAAAAAAACAGCCAATTTTACAGATTTTGAACTAGCTTAGTAGCTGAGAGTCATTAGTCAACACATGATCCAAGTGTTACTCATTGTGTGAGATCTTTGCYTTAGACTTTAGTTGGAGTTAATGCYGTTTAAGTGTG